TCTTAAAGATATCAATGGAGTATTTTAATTGTGTAACTGGAGAAAAATTAAATAAATAATTTGTTTGTTCACACACTTATGCATTACATAAACTTTATTTGTGTTACATTTGTCCTTTATAATGAAATGTATGGAGATAACGAACAGTATTCAAGCTCAAAAATTCATTAAACAATACAAATTTTGGAGCAGAGCAAACACATAAAGAAAAAGATTCTGAATGGGCTATTTTTGTTATAAAAGAATTGGTTATCTATTAACTGCATTACATAAACTTTATTTGTGTTACATTTGTCCTTTATAATGAAATGTATGGAGATAACGAACAGTATTCAAGCTCAAAAATTCATTAAACAATACAAATTTTGGAGCAGAGCAAACACATAAAGAAAAAGATTCTGAATGGGCTATTTTTGTTATAAAAGAATTGGTTATCTATTAACTGGGAATAGCATATAGACATTTAGATATGAATATACTGTTTTCAAAGGTAGATTTCAAAGGCAATACTGAGGTTTGAATGTGTTTCAAATGAATTCAAAAGTACATGTAATGACTGAGACTCATATTGCTTTTTTTTTTTTTTTTTTTTTTTTTTTTTTTGCCTAATGACCATGAATTTTCCTTAAATCTTCAAATTCTTTCAGAATTTTAGTAGAAAATATAGGTCATGAGAAACAACATACTAAACACTGGTTTTATTCCAATAAAGGGCTCAAGAGTTCATGATTTGAATGTAGACAGACAGACAACTGCGTTAAAATTATAACTTCGGCCCTCGGAAAACACACCAAATTAAACAGTGAATCACATGTACGAAATACCCGAAGTGATTTTAATACCTTGCTGGATAGCTCAGTAGGGTATGCAGTTTGGTCTATCAAGTATTACATTAGGTTTGAATCTATACAGGTCACGAGGTTACACAGGTATGACAGTGCCTTAGCACACAGTCTAGTGAGCAGTTGTGTTTGTAATTTCCTAAATTATTCTTAGGTTTTGACTGCTAATGCATAGTAAGCAAATTTGTACCCCATTTTTTATGAAGTGTAGCGTAATTACAGAAGTTAAAAATCTAACAGATTAGATATTTTATGTACATTACGACCAAAGGTTATTAAATTTTAAAAACCATTACGAACAATGTATTAAATTTTAAAGAATAACATGGTTTTCATTGCAGTTAACACAAAAATTGATCTATTGGTTAAATATGCGTCAGAATCGGGTGGACGGTGGCTTAGTCCCATAATTCTGCAGCATTAATGAACGACTTAGCACCGGCCTCCTTTTCTCATAAGGTACGTTGTTCAGCTCCCCTTAACCTTTAGGTTTAAATCTAGGTCACGAGCTTACTCAGATGTGGCATTAGATTTCACAGGTATATATATGAGTTGATTTCAATGTTGTACGAAGCTACATGTAAGCGCCAAGGCTCACTCTGGTATTCCGTTTTTAAACAATTGTCCAGCTTTTTTGAGGTAAGGTTTATATTTATAACTTTATTTTAGTTATTTTCTACATGTATATCATTCATTTGTCCTAAAACACACAGTTACCGCGTTTCTCATCAATTTTGGCATGCATGTTTCGTTTAATTTGATTTGTATGTGTAGTAATACGTATTTGAATATTTCAAAGTACGGTATACAATTTCCATCATAATAGATTGTCCATAAGTAGCTATTCGCAATGTTGCATTTGTGTACGAGTTGTATGTATAATTTGAACAACTCATGTCTGTGTAATTGAGTCTTATATAAGACGTGTCCATTATTATTAATAAATCCGATTATAAATGTAGTGTGTATTTGTGTAAAGTCACTAGAGCTTGTAAGTAAAACTTTTATGTATATGTTGGAGCAGGTTCCATCCATACGCCAGAGTTTTGGTACAACAGTGAGGCCACCCGGTGCCTAAAGTCCGCCCCTTGGTTTGTAGTAGATAGGCCACCCTTGGAACCTAGAGTCCATCCTCCAGCTAGTGAGATGACTGGACATTAGGACAAACAACAACAATATCATTTGTATATTATCATGATTCATTAAATATGTAAATTGTAAGAAAAAAGCATTTGAGTTGTATTTTAATTAGTTAAGTGATAAATCCGCTCTACTATCTGTGACAATATCTGTTAACAAGATCATTATAATGACCATGGAATTTACGAAAAGCTGACTATAAACGAGATTGTGGAAATCCCTGTATCATCAATTTATCTGTCAGTAGTTGCCCTGGTTTTAAAAAAGATCGTACTAAGGGCTTGCATTTGAGTATCAAATATGTTGGGAGACGTAGACACCATATGCAGGTTATAGCGGAAAATATTACTACATAAATTAGAAAGGCTGACGATGAAAACGCTAAAGTCATCTCGTTTGTCACACAATAAAAATTAAATTACAAGAGACACATGAACGATAGAGCTCACCTGAGTACCTATGGCCCATATTGTTCTTCGTCAACAGATTCTTTCACATGCATAACCCCATGTAAAACTTGATCACCCCACACTATTTCAAGGGTCTTGATTTGAACAAACTTGAATCTACACCATTTGAGGATGCTTTCATATAAATATGACTGATCGTGGCTTTGCTGTTCTTGAGAAGAAGAATTTTAAAGATATTTTCTACTTATACCCATGTAAAACATTGATCGCTGACAGTGGCCACCCTCTACCCCCAGAGGTCATGATTTGAACAAAGAACAAGGTACGGTTTCAATACAAATCTTGCCCTATGTTTTTCTTAAAAATAACAGTGATGTAAAAAATTAAAACTCATGCTTTTTGAATTATTGAAATTCCATGCAGAAAGATCATACAAATCTTTTTTCTCACATGACCTTCCAAATGCTAATTGTGACGTCATAAACTTGTGCATTTTCCCGTATTTACATAAAAAGTTGCAGAAGACATCAATTTTTAATGGAATTTTCTTTCAGATAATATTGTCCACAGGCATCGCCCACAAAGATTTTGAGATATGTGATTTTTCAAAGAATTTTACAAAACATATCTAAAAATTAACGTGGGCAACGGCTGTGGACACTATTTTCTTAAGGGAGATAACCCTTGAAATGGGTCATTTTGAGGCTTTTTCTGTTTAAAATAGAGAAATGCATCAAATTAATGACGTCATATATCCAGAATGGTACTCCATCATGCTATATTCTTTCCTGATTTATTACAGTGATACACTCAACTAATATTTGAGCCAGTTTCAAAACTTTTTGAAAACATTAAATTTTTAGGGCACAATAAAGCTAAAACCATACCTTTTTCTTTGAATGTACACTTTGTCAGAAGCTTTTACATGATTCATCTTCACTGACCCAGTGGCTCTTGAGAAGAGTTTTAACTGACCCAACCCAAATTTTACTTTTTTTCTTAATTATCTTTCTTTGAAGAGGGTGTGGCCCTTCATTTGAACAAGCTTGAATCCCCTTTACCCAAGGATGCTCTGTACTAAGTTTGGTTGAAACTGGCCCAATGGCTCTGGAGAAAAAGATGAAATTTAAAAAAAAAAATACGACGACGATAGTAACAATAAGGACAACAACAGACAACGAACAAATTTTGTCTGCTCTCTTTCCTGTTGATTTATTTCCACTTTCAACAATTGCAAATTACCAAGACCTGCACTTTATACTCCTGAATATAAAAAAATATCACACCAATATGGCAGATTTCATGTACTTAGCAGAAATTCCGCAGATTGTTTGTATTAATTTTATATCCAACTTCCGCATGACTCATAAGGGTTTCAAGTCTTTTTTAAATATTATTTTCAATTCCCTTTAATTATATGGAAATGAACAATAATTACAAAACCCATTATGAAGATGAGAATGGCCGAATATGCCCTATGTCACATCCCCGTAAGTGATTAAATTACCGATTAATTTTGCAGTTAATATTTTGAATTTAATGTAGAAATAAAAAGAAAAATACAACCAAAAAAGTGATATAGATCAAAAGAGTTAGATATCACTAGTATTATCTTTATCGACATTTGAACAACATTTTAAAGTATATGAAGTTTATCGGCGTCTAATTTGGGCGGGTTTAATCATGATCAGTGCTTACTTGCTGTCCAATTTTTAAATGTCTAAGTCATGTTTTCGACAATGAACAATTGAGTCAAATATTTGATAAAGTCATGGCCAAACAAGGCGCACCAAGACCAGAAACTGAATAAAAACTACCATCACTCCTTGAATTAATTGGATTCCTACGAAAGTTGTTCCACAATTTGCATGCATTCCTTTCCTTTTGGCAGATTTAAATTGGAAAAGAGTTTCTAACCAACTCTCCAAACGTACCTTATGCAAAAAGGAGGCGGGGGCTAAGTTGTTCATTAATGCTGCAAGTTTTGTGCAAAATTATGGGACTAAGCCCCCATCCACCCGATTCTGACGCATATTTAACCAATAGATCAATTTATGTGTTAACTGCAATGAAAACCATGTTATTCTTTAAAATTTAATACATTGTTCGTAATGGTTTTTAAAATTTAATAACCTTTGGTCATAATGTACATAAAATATCTAATCTGTTAGATTTTTAACTTCTGTAATTACGCTACACTTCATAAAAATGGGATACAAATTTGCTTACTATGCATTAGCAGTCAAAACCTAAGAATAATTTAGGAAATTACAAACATAACTGCTCACTAGACTGTGTGCTAAGGCACTGTCATACCTGTGTAACCTCGTGACCTGTATAGATTCAAACCTAATGTAATACTTGTGAGACCAAATTGTATACCCTATTGGGCTATCCAGCAAGCTATTGAAAACACTACCGGTATTTCGTAATTCAATTATAACAAACCCATTCTTTTAATCCTGTCTCAAAATATATTTTATTCATGTCTATTCAATTCTTTGATGCTGCAAAGCGATAGACTGGAACAAAACTTCCTTGTTTCATAGCTGCCATTGTTTCACTTCCAGTTGGCCATATACGTCTTAATTTTATGATTTCGTTCATTTAGTGACCAAGATGTTTTTTCTTCACTTTATAAAATTTTTGGCAATCATAAATGCATATGGATACCTTTGCCTCGGTAAGATGATAATATTAACAGAAATTTTCTTATCAGAGTTAATGTTTTCCATATCTTTAAATAAGAAGAATATCCGAAAAGCTCATAATTTTTTTTAACATTTAGTAGAAGTAGTAGTTGTAATTATTGGAACATACGTAACTTTTTTTCTTTCTTTACATTCCAAATAGATAATAAGAAAAATATATTATGAATATTTTTATGTGGTTGATTTTCAAATGTTTTATGCATGGAATAGATTTTAGAATTTTACCTTCACTAAAACCTCAAAACACAAGTCAGTAAAATTAAAGTGCATCAAACAGAATCATTGGGATCAATATTTTATCAATCAGTGTTTATTTCAATAATTTTAACCATTTTAAAAGAACTCTTGGGGTTAAAGTAGGTAGCAAAACTCGCGGACATGAATAAAAGTTAGCTTATAGTATCTTTACACAAGTATCTTTACACAAGTATATTGTCCTAAATGGACAGACTGCTTCATTAAATGTAGTCTGGTCCGATTTATAGAAAAAAATACTCCTAACGGCAATAATTATTACTTGATCCAGCATAGTTTTTAACCTATTTCGATATGCCGATATTTCGATATGCTGAATCCGAAAAAAAATATGCTGGCCTTCATGAAAATGGCGTTAAAAAGGTCAAAATGGCGATTCAAAATGGCGAACATCCAATTTTTCTAATTTTCTCTTAATGTCGTTCAAATAGGAGAAAGAATGTGTGAATATCTCACTGAGTATACAACTCTAAAATGATAAAAGAATGCTAATATTATTACTTTAATTCAGAAAATTTAGTCATTTCTAGACTTAATTCGAATTTTCTCTGATTTATTCTGATTTATTTGTCTATTGTTTCTATATTCTGCTTTGTTCAGGATTTTACATTTGCAAATATCCATACACTGCAGATTGGGTTTTTTTCCTCTGCATCTCACTATTCTACAACTGAATGATGGTACAGCTGTAAGTTATAATCTGAATTTCGGAAAAATCTCTGCAAATGCCCATTCATAAGTTTGCAGCAGACAACCAAGAACAGCTATTCCATCTCATTGGACTTAGTAATGTGAGGTTACCACTGCACCTGCCTATCTTTATATCACGTACTGCCTGGCATTGTGCTCGCCTTACATGCATATAAAAAGAATGGGAAGCGTAATTCCTAAATTATTTTCGATACACGTTAGTGGACACTGTATATTTGTTACACAACCCAAAGACGATTTTCTTTTTTTTTTGGGGGGGGGGGATCAGTTAATTTTCCTTCTCCTCTACCTTCCATTGATATGTACTACAATGAGTAAATTGTATTAAATTTATTTTTCTGAAGCTCTGGAAAAGACAGATTTATCGCCGAAACAATTTAAAAGGAATAATTGCAGGCTTCCGAAAGGTTCCACTCGAATTCTACAAGTGTCTATTTCTGGAAAGAATGAGCGATGACACGTCCATATATGATATGCTTGTATGAGAACAGCTAAAGGTGCAAGAGGGCACTCAAGAACAGTACTAGAGCACTGCTTGAAGAACTACAGACTGCTTCTTTACTTAGCGCAGACTGCTTTAACCAATATCATTCTCGCATTTGACTCAATCTTCAACCATCCCTCACTCACTCCTTCCCCCTCCCTCCCTCCCTCCCACATACATAGCGAGCAGTAACAATGTCTTTCATAACGGGTGGTGGGAGGAGACAGGGTAATATTTTTTTCCAAGGTACAGCAAAGTTAATAGGAAGAGGAATTTCTCTTGATGTCCCTTTGTTTTGAGTGTTGCTGATTATATTGATTAGTCCATTTAATGATCAAACAAAATGTAATACTAGAAAAGTTTCATTTTTTCTGGAAATAGTTAAAACAAACTCGACTTGTTTCTCCATATTTGACCGTGTTCCAAAGCTCTGAACCCCTGTCCACCTAAATTCACTGCTGAATCGTTGTCATTATCAGCTAGCACTTCCACTTCAACATCCCTCAGCACAGAAGAAATTCTTGCCCGATTTCATTGAACCCTTTGCACTAGCTCTTGAAATTAGCGCTTTAAGAGCTTAATATTTCCCCCCAACATCCTCTATTCCAGCTTTAAATGCTTTACGTTCAGTCAGTTTTCGAAATTTTGGTCTTCTCAACAGCTCAAGGAGCAACACATTTATGTTCAAATGTTAAGACCATTTTTTTTCCAAAACCTTATGCAAAATGGAAAAAATCTCTGATAAGACATGTAGCTTTCTCTTTTGAGACCATATCGATTTGTTGTCTTTTTGGGTAGAAAGGTCATTCCATTAGCAAAAAAAAATTCTCAAACTTTATCATCTGGAATCACACTGTGTGCATTTTTTGGTGAAAAAAGTTGTATAATTGTGCAATCTAAGAGCACCTGCAGATTCCTTGTGATTTCTATCACGTACAAGCTACCGTACCAATAGGCCGAAGCCATTCTTGACGTTGATCTAGTCAACTTCTCTTGACAACAAAATTTTCTTGAATACTCCAAGAACTTTACAAGGCAATTTTATCCACACTACTTTGTTAGGATAGTGTATGGTTGTATCAAGAATCGAGGGGGGATTAAACACAAACATTTTTCTCTTTCCGATTTTGTTAATTTTAAAACAATAGGCACCGAATTCAATCCGAGTTTGACAAAAAATGTGTTTGGATTATCGATTTTGCACATATACAATATTCTTAAAAAAGAATTTTGCAGTCGCTTAACTTTAAATATAACAATACAAGATTTTCCGTTCACAATATTAAATATTTGTGAATACAGCTTATTTTTGTTGGCTATGAATAACAAAATGCAAATGCAGGGACGCAGAATCAGAGCTAGGCAATCAAGAATATTTATGGTTTACGTATATTATACTAGTTTTGATAATTCTTAATAAATATGTTGATATATTAGTATATTACATTCAAATTTATATGATTTAATAATTCCTAGCTCTCTGGTTGTGGTCCATCATTTTAAAAATCATATGCTAAGTTATGTTGCACTAGACCTTCCACATGAACATAAACATTTATTTTTTTTTTCTACGCTGCATTGACTAAAAGTAGATCAAAAATTTCCAACTGATAATTTAGCAACCCTCGAACTACAATGTTCCCTCGCCTTTTGGCTCGGAGAGTACTGCTCTTGGGGTAGCTTAATTGTCATATTGTCCTCCAAAAATCATGACCAGACTATACCGAAGTCAAGACATCTGTATGGTCAAAATAATTAATTTATTCAAGGATCATATTCATTTCATCTGTATATGGCATATCAAACGTTGCAATATTCAATATTTTCCATTTGTATTGTATAATTTTCCAGATAGAAAAAATACACCTCTATACAATAAAAATGGAGAATTATACAATACAACGGGAAAATCATACAATAAAAATGGAAATTGTTGAATGCAATTAGAGAATTATACATTGCAAATGGAAATATATAGAATCAAATATAAATTTATATAATAAAATGGAATATATTACAATACAAATGGAAAATTATACAATTCAAATGGGTAATTATAGAATACAAATGGAAAATTATACAATACCAATAGAAAAATAAAACAATATAAATGGAAAATTATAGAAAACAAATTAAAATTATAGAATACAAATGGAAAAGTATGCAATACAAATGGGAAAGTACACAATACAAATGGAAAAGTTCGAATATTGCAACTTTTGACATACCATACCTGTAGTGTTTAATATGTGTTTCGGAGGTGACAGGGGCTAGTTTCGTACTAAATGTAAATTTTCTCTGAAAAGTGAGGTATCCTTTGTTTGACGTGATATTTCAGATAGGAAAATGAATAGAATAATTATGAAAAAGTTGTGAAGTGTAGCAGAGTGCTTATTGAGAAAAATGATGTGCAACATGTAGGTGTTACTATGATGCTTAGCATATACAGAGCTGTAAATCCGAAACTAAGACATGCTACCAGTTGCCGAGGAAATTCAGCTGGCAAGCAGTAGGGCTTAGAAGACATCGGAAGCTGTCATTTATTGAAATAAAATCAAATTAGGTTGAATCTTGCAGTACGTTCGTTGCATTCACGCATTTTCTAACATTTCTCTGCAAACCAGGTTTCCTTTGTCGGAACTGAAAAGTTTGTGGGGGTATAGATAATTCGATCGTCGTTCACCTTCAAAGTGCTATCGTTGTTTTTTCACAACGAACGGTGAAATAAATATAATTTTACATCAATAGGACATTGCAAGATTTTATATTACATTTCAGGCCCATAGAAAGCTGTTTCAGTGTGTGTTTGTGTGTCTTTGTTGGGGGGGGGGGGTCCAACAGAACAACAATTCTTTGACAAGAAAAAATATTATTGAAGGAGGACAATCGTAATTTAGGTTTGTTTTCTATTGCATAATATTAGTATATTCTTGTATTGGCAAAATTATAGGGATGAAAGGAGGGGACACGTTTAAGCAGATAAGTCTTCAATACAGAGGTGGATTTGACCGGGGGGGGTAAAAATGTATAGTAAATAAATATAATAAAATAAAGCGGATATTTGCAGAAGTAATTTCTGTACAAATATTGTGAGATGTATTGGAAGAAAAGGAACTATACATAGGGAAATTAAAAGTTTTTTTTTTTTTTTTTTTTTTTTTTCACCAAAACAGAATAACATAATTTAGAGGAGGACAATTTGATTCTAAAGAAAGTTGGATCTGGCATTTTTTTCGAGTCAAAATGTTTATTTTTCATGTCATTGAAGGACAGATTATTTATTTCAAAGGTGATAAGGGACAGTTTTTATGATTTCCACTACACAAAATAAAAAAGTGGGTAGGAAAAAATAAAGAAAAAATGAGAAAATAAGAGTGTGTGCGGGGCGTGGAAAGATGAAACTCATGTGGAAGCATCCTCAGGTATCGTAGATTCAAGTTTGTTCAAATCATGATCCCCGGGGGTAGGGCGGGGCCACAATGGAGGATCAAAGTTTTACAAAGAAATTATGTAGGAAAAACC